AGGTAGGCATGTTTCAAGCCGAACCGTGCCTTCAGCCAAGATTGCCTTGGATGCTCAGAAGCTTCTAAAGGATGAGGAGGTCCAGCGCTCGGCATGGTTGATTCGAAAATCATTCATGAGTGTTCTGCTTCAATCGGCATGAAGCTGTGGATCGGTCAGTTTGGGTCTCCACACTACATGGAGTGTTGACCTTTAGCTTTGGCTGGGGAGTAGGCTACAAGAAGAGTGTGCAGAAGACGGTAGAACGCCGGCATCCTTGTGAGAGGAGAAAAAGAAAAAGGAAGAGGAGGAAAAGGAGGCACACATATTTCTCATGGCATGCTTTATCAGCAGTGCAGAACGGGCTTGGCAGTGCAATGCACCGTTGACAACGCTCCTTGCTCCGCCTCTGTTGTCCGGGGGTGATTGATGGAGTTTCGTCGAGAAACTCGAAGAAGCAGGCTGCGAAGAAGAAACAGTACTTGGACGACATTAAGGAAGCGCTGAGAGTCGTCAGTGGCTTGGCTGAGGCTTCAGAGGTGTTTCCCAGAAGCTTCCAGATTGCACTCCTTCTGTCATGCCCACTTCCAAAGCATTGATGCCTCATCCCATGTGCGAGGGCATGGCCTCGAGTCTTGAAAATGCCGAATCTGGCAGAAAGGCTGCATGCATTTTGCCATGTTTTGTCGCTACTCGCACTAGTCTTACCGGCTGTTTGCTGCTATCGCTTGCGCCGGCACAACGATGACTTCATGTCAAGTCACCCAGTCATATCGGTGTTCCAGCTTCCTACGTAACCCGATGTACACCCGTTGCCCCTCCTTCGGTTGCCATTCGTGCCGCTGTTTATGCCCGTGCTGCTAGTGTCCACCCCTTTGCGATCATTGTGATGATGTGGCGGTCAGTACTTGCACTACTTTGATGACCCGGCTAGCGCTTCTGCTGGTATGTCTTGGTGTGACCACTTGATAGTTCATACCCCGCTCTCATATTGCTGTTGGAACTACGATTGCTGTGACAGCGGCAACAATACCTGCACGGTCGTCACTAGTTGCAAAAAGACAAGCACACCTTTGGTGCGAGTCCCCGGACGACGACGACGACTACTAACTACTACTACTACTACTACTACTACTACTACTACTACTACTACTACTACTACTACTACTACTGCTACTGCTACTGCTACTGCTACTACTACTACTACTACTACCACCACCACTAGCGCTATTAGTGTTGTTGCTCGCATTCTGAGAACTGTGGCTGCTGCTAGTATTTCTGTCCTTTTGGGAGTTCTGTGCCTCTAGTTTTAGTGCTTCCGTGGTTCATACAAATGCCACGGCTACGAAACCAAGTCTGGTGTTGGTCGGTGATCTTCTTACTAACCTTTCCATGAGAGCATGACTGCTGATGACATTGTCACAGTTGCTCATAATCGCCGGATGAAAGCTCCAGTAGCTTCGAGATTGGCTGCGCCCGGGAGTAGTTGTGGAAGTGACGGACGCTTCCTTGGCTTTGCATCCTCAGCCCGCAGAGATTCCCAAGTTGCAGATGCTGAGGAAAGCTTGCTACTTCACCTGAAGAGGATCCTACTGGAGGCACGCTTGTGGCAAAGTCTGGTCTTGTGCTTTGCTTTTGTTCTTCTGTTCTATAGTGCTTCCCGAGCTGAACTTCCGTTTCGCTTTGGTAGATCGCAGCCCACGTCTGTGTTTGGTGTAGCTTTGTGCAAGTTGCACGGCATTTTCAGTCTTGCATCTAGTCTGACGCCATCGGCGGGACTTGCTGACAGCCAGAATTAGAGGCTTGCTGAGTGACCCAAAGATTGAAACCCTCGCCCTGGATGGGAGAAGGACTTCTGTCGCCGCTTGCAGATCTACTGCACATGAATCAGCTGGCTGCTAATGCCCGAGATGATGTCTTAAGATTCGAGATCTCCCATCCAAGAAATCATTGGGAAGGTGGGTCACACCGAGTCGGTTACAAGTCAGCATAAACCGGAGTGCAGGAGCTTGCTGCTTGGTTGCCAGTGCTTCGACGTTTTGTATGACCGTATGCAACCAAGAGAAGAGCTGCCGTGGACCCTGAGTAGCGAAGGCCGAACAGAACACATAAGCACCGGCATAGCTTGTAGCAGGCGAGCTGATGAAAGCTGCGAAAGCGCGAGTTGCAGAATCCCTAGCTGCGGCTACCAAGGCATGCCAGCCGTCTGTAGAGAGGGAGAGAGCTTTTTGTTTGGAGATTGCGACTTCTGTTGACCTCACGTAGAGATCCTGCTTAGTTAAAGCTCTGCGGTGGCTCTACTTTAAATACAAGTATGGAGAGGAGAGAGCCCGAGAGACTCTAGACTCTAGAGTGAAGACGCCACCATCGAGCCGCTCGTGTGCTTCTGCCAGCTTTTCATCAGACCTTAGCCAGGCTGGGGTCGATCAGGAAGACATCGTGGCAGCCTCTCAGGCGCCAGCTGAGGAAGACGAGGAGAATGTTTCTAGGAGTTGTCCAAACCGCAAATTCTTGCAATCTGGTAGTGAAGAGCAAGTTCTCGTCAGGGTAGCGGATATGCCTTTGCTGGGTGTTCCTTGGGAATGATTTTACAAACGTAATTCAATGTAAACCGGAAGGGCTGTTGGGTCTATGGGGCTTGGACAGGAGGAGCAAGACGAGCCCGAGACTCAGGGTCACTTGTTCTGCCAGGCACACTTGAGGCGCAGCATTCGGCCCTCGGCAGTGGATGAACCTTTGCGTCCTGAGGAAAGACAAGGAAAAAGAGCAGAAGAAGATAACCAAGAAGGATCTCGGATCAGCAAGTTTTCCTCGGTTGTGCTTAACTCATCCTGTGCGTTGCTGCCGGCAGCCATTCCTTTGCAAACTTGGGCTTTTGCGGGTCGAAAGCCAGGGTCAGGATTCGAGATGTGTCCCGCGTAATGGCTTGATCGTGCAAGGAGAAGAAGAAGATCGCTAAAGTCGCCTCTGCAGCTCGCCTGCATTTGGTTCGATCAGGTAGGGGTTTGCCCAGGCTTGGGCATCGTTTTGCCTCTCCATCGATACCAGCTTGATCTACCAGTATGTTTTGCTCAACATTTTGTCTATAGGACTTGTGGCTGTGCGGCTGTTGTACCAATCGATGCATTCCGCATTCACCGGCACGAGATCCGAGAAAACGTGCAGCATGTCTCAAAGACGGTAAGGCTCTTATGTCGGCAAACCAGTGCTTGACATGTTTATGCCGGCATGCTTCGTCACTGGCTAGGACCTAGGAAAGATTGCTCGTGCCTCTGCACCTCCACCGAAAGGCCTAGGTTTCGAATGTCACACCCGCATAACAAAGACCTCTCGATTTGTTAGACGTGTTGTTCTCCACCCATGCCCGCCGGCCCGAGTGAGTGTCAACCGTAAGCTGTTCACCAGCAAGAGGGCAGGAATGACACGAATCTTTCTCGCTGGAGGTAGCGGCAGCTCAAGCCAAAGAAGAGGCTCTGACGGGCGGCAGCCATGAAGCGTCCGGACGCACCGGATCGTTCCTGCCTGCAGGGCAAATCGATTGCAGAAGTCGGCAAAGCTGCTACGCAGGCGGCGAAGGCCGCCACTTAAAGTGCAGAGTCAGCTTTCGAGACTGTCATGTTGACCTGTTGATCTGATGACATCGTTAGGCCTGGGGTGGTGATCCGCAAGACATCAAGCTTGCAGCTGCACCTCGTTCGGCAATATGCTCCCAGCAGCCTTGCTAGACTGGTGCAGTGCGCTTGCGTGCATGCGGAGCACTTGTCCTTGGCGCTTCGGAAGATGCTCCCGGCCTCTCCAAGGAAACGGCCCTTAAAATCGCAAAAGGCAGCCTGGCAGATGTTGGAGTGCGCAGCTCTAAACGACAAGTTACAGTCGCCACCAGTGCATTCGTCGGTGTGAGTCTATTGCATCCTTCACAGATAGTTTCCAGCGCATGGTTCTGTGCCGCCACAGGCGAAATCACCGTGGACCCCAAGAAAGCTGAGGAGGAGTCCTCCTCAAGCAGCAGCTCCGACAGTTCGAGTTCCGTCGAAGACGAGGAGGACCGACTAAATAAGCCTCTCGTGTTTAGAGAGCTGGGATGGCACAAGGCAGGGTAGAATTTTGTCGGCTGGTTCCTTAGCAGTTGCTCTTTGGAGGATCTTGGCGAGATGGATCGCCACAAAGCCAAGATGGACGGAATGGCAGCGATCTATTATTGGGGCATGGGCCGCTGAGGCTCAGGGCAGCCGAGCCGAAACATGGGAGACGCATGGAGACGTGAGATGGCCATGGCCATGTGTTGACTGAATGATGGCCTTTGCAGTGCAAGGCGTCGTGCAAAGGTGCAGATGTCACCAGCACAGATTCTTGCCTGGTAGTTTCAAAATTTTCAGTCACAGGCAGGACTTGTGGAGCGAAGGAAGACCTAAGCGCTGCGACCGCTTCTCTCACTGCTTCGGCTGAGAATGACAAGAGTAGCCCAGGTTCCCATTGAACAGTGCTGTCCCGAAACTCACGGCAGGCTGTCTAGCAGTCTCCTCACGTAGGGGGTCCAAGAAGTCCCGGCTTCGCCAGGCAGATTAGACATAAAGACCTGCAAGTAGAGGCCGTTCTGAGAGAACCGCCAGCAAAGGCAAAATACCTGTTTGCCTGCACCTCGATTCGCTGACTTCACTCGTTGATCCCAGGAGAGTTGCGTATGCATGCACTGCATCACTTCCAAATTGAAAACTGTTGTTCCCTCAATCATCGATTTGGTTGCTGAAAGTTTCCTCGCACATGCTGTGGCTTTTAGTTTTAACGGTTGCTGGTGCTACTGTCAGTGACATAGACCAAAGTGCTGCTGCTGTTGATGCCAGCACTTTGTTGCGGATACGGTTGGTTTTGTCATTGACTGGCAAAGTGCGTCAGCATAAGCTGCGGTTGCTGAGTGTGTCTGCTTTTTTCCTTCAGCCGTTTTGCGCACATCACTTCCTGGAACCTAATCTGCGCTGATCATGTCCCAGAAACCCTCCTAGCGGTCCTAATGACGGCACCAGGCTGGAGGCAAGCGCGATGCATCTCAGAGAGGCCGAAGCGGCCAGCACAGCATCGCATTGTTCAACTTGCTTCGTTGTTTCGCTGGAACGGATGTCGGGACGCCATAGCCACCCTATTGCGACATTTGAAGGCAGACGGAGGAAGAAGAGAAGATGCCCGGCCCTCGAAAGCTGGACCAGTGTCATCTGTTGTCATTACGTTGCATGGTATGTGGGGGAATGCCAATCAAAGCCAGACAGACTCTTGCAGGTTGCAATCTACTTTCGGCTTGGCATTGGCTTGATATTTGCAGGGCAGCGGCTGAGGTGTTGAATCTTCCACCGGCTCCGGTGACGGCTGAGGATCTGGCGGAGAGCTCTAATTGAGGGCTCCAACTGGATGTAACCTGCTCTCGGTCTCCACGGCAGCGCAAAAAGGAAGGTTGCCTCACGCCGGATGCTGAGGGTGTGCATGCAGTTGCGATGTTAGTGCACCCCACGGGGGATGTCGTGAGTGATGCGGTGCAGCAGTGGTAGTGCGCATCGTCGTAGCAGTCGTTGTATGTCGCGGAGCAGCAGGAGGGGGAATTGTGCAGTGGATGCACAATCTTGCCAGGCATCATGCTTCTGCAGAGGTGAAACCGAAATATGCACGCAGTCGTGTTTTGGCTGTAGGGCCTGTAATCGAGGCACAAACAGCAGCCCGGCATAAGAGTGACTGAGTCGCGGCAGACACATGCAAACTAGGCCATCCAGAGACCCAAGTCCAGCACGGCTTTTGTGCAGCCTAGCTGTCATCCCCAGGACATCCTGCAAAACCGAGAAGTAGCTACATGTAGCAATTCCAGTATAAGATTCAGCAATCTGCTGGTCGTGTTTTACTTTTGCAACAACGAATGCAACGCTCGCACTCAAGGTAGGACCGGGCTTCATCGCCGTAGCGATATGGTGAAGCTGTCTATCGTCAGTTCCTAGCACTTCTGTTGTTGGTAATGCCCACTACGCCAGACGATCTTCCCGCACAAAAAAAAAGGTTCATCAAAGCTCTCTTGCAACGTTCGTTTTGATTTCTTGGCAGTCCTCCACATCAACCTTTTTATTCGCAACACATGAAATGGCACGAAGATTCACATAGACATCGCGCCCATGTTCTGAGGACAGTGTGCAGATCACAATTGCTGCGTTATGCGGTGGGGTTCAACGCGGGCTCGGAAATGTACAAGTGCCAGTCCTGCGATCACGTTGCGTTTGGAATTTGCATGGAAGATGCATAGTTTTCTTGTACTTCGGAAATCTACTTTCCATGTGTCTGCAGCGGCGTTCCAATGCTTCAGTCGCCTCCCGAGGATTCTGGGCTAAAGGATGCTTGACACATCAAGGATCCGATGTGCAGCTGCGTAGTTGATGCCCACGCAGAGTTTGGCCACTCGAAGAGTGTTCAGGGCCTTTTGGGGGCGCTTGCACCGCGAGCCTTAAGGTTCAGTCAGGTCAACCACGGTCGCGCGGCGTGCGAATCGTACTCGGGAGTTCTATACGTCTGTGGGAGAAGCACGACGCTACGCAGGTTCAGCTGCATTGTTGGATCAGTGTTTCGCTCGTCGTACAAGAAAAGGAATTCCAGCTTGAGTGGTATCGTTCACAGTTTACGCGGGCTTTGTTCATATTCCGATTGAATGGTTCTTCATAGCTCATCAGCATGCCTCCGGCCTGGATTCGGCACTCTGTTGATCTGGTCAATTTCCTATCCGATGATGATGGAGGCACTGTTTGCATGACTGTCCGTCACATGTCGCGTACGGGTTTCAGCCTACTACCTGGAAGTAATAGCTGTATGCACTGCTGCCATGAAGTAGCTTGCGACGAAAGATCCATGGTCCATGTGACTCCATTGATTTCTGCAAGACATAGTTTGCTCGGGTGCCTTACTCCGCATTCTGATCAAGGTCCAAGTAGATGCTTGGCACGGACAGTGTTTGACTCCACACTTCTGTGTGGTACACGAGTTTCACCACAATGGGGTCGTGCGCAAGTCGGCCAACAAATGGGACCTCTACATCCCGGGCCCTTGGCGACCTCGACAGCGACTCATGCCATCCGATGTACGCTCCGATGTGGGTGATACGTGTCCAAGACGTGTTGAAGATGACTGGAAGGTTCCCGCCACACCAGGAGTTGAAGCAGCAAGGTCTGCTGCGGGTGCGTGAGCGCATGAACCCGTGGTCTTGGGCAATATTCGTATCGCACCAGTGGTTAGGCCGCAACCACCCAGACCCCAACGGAGAGCAGCTCAAAGTTTTGCAGGAGATTCTGCAGAACTTGATTTCCAGGAAGACCACGGTCGAACACAACACAACAGCACAATTCTTCCTCAAAGGTCGCAGTTTGACCAAGGCAGAGTGCAGTGATTTGCAAAACGCTTTCGTTTGGTTGGATTATTGCTGCGTGCCTCAAATGATTCATTCTGCTGAATGTTCACGTGAAGAGCAACTTCAGCACATATTTTCCATTCCCTACTATGTCGATGCATGCCAGATTTTCGTGGCATTGGTCCCTAGAAGTTGTCACGAGACAGGAGAGCCTTGCGCAGAAGCCACCTGGATTCAGCGTGGGTGGTGCAGGAGCCTTAAAGCAAGTTTGAGTTTGTTTTCCTTAAAGATGCGACAACTTCAGGAGGCATAATAAAACCTGCTGACGGTCAGCCTGGAAAGAATACATGCCATAAGCCAAAGAGAACCAGCACCCTGCTACGCATCAAGCCCACAGGACCGAGATGTGGTGCAAGCTTCTATCTGAAGCCTCAGACATTCCCATTATGATGGTCACTTCTGGTGATTCTGTCGAGTTTGCGACACCTAGGTGGACTTTGAACACGGTCCACTCGGGGCAATTCGCTTTGGAAGAAGACCGGTATGCATGCGGCCAGGTAGTGCAAACAGCTTTGGATCACAAGTTGTCTCAATTGAGGCTCCGAGCAGACATGGATCGCTTTAGGCTTTTCTTGGCACTCTGGGAAGACCTCATGGGTCTCCCTGCCCGGCAGCGGAGCTTGCAGGAGTTCTTGTCTGACTTTGCGTTCGGAAGCCTGGACGCATGCCGAGGTAAGCTTGGTGTAGGCCCCGTAGCATGTGCCACACTGGCCGGGGATTGTGAGATGATTCGCACACTCGTTTCGGCAAAGGCTTCCCTGCAAACCCGCACACGTGCTGATGAAGTGATGGGCGTTATGCCTGAATCGACGCCGTTGCACTTGGCTTGCCAATTCCGCTCGGGGTATCTGGAGCCCATCAAGACTCTCTTGCAATTGCGGGCTGACGTTCACGCAGCACGAGGTGGGACCCCTGCACCCTTGAATTTCTGCCAGCGAGCAGCTGCTATTGAACTCCTTGTTCAGCACGGGGCTTCGGTGAATGCCGCTACGTCCCAGTTGAAGTGGCCACCTATCCACACCGCATGCCAGATGGGGGCACCACCCGAAGCTTTGGCAAAGCTGTTGGAGCTTCGAGCAGACGTGCACGGAAACCCCGGCGGTTCTCCACCGATTGCGTTTCTCGCATTCTGGGGCAACTCCAACCCCAACTTGATCGAGTCGGCTCAGGTGATGCTCGCCCACAAGGCGGATGTCAACTACGTCTTCGAACCAGAAGGCATTTGGCGCTCAATCGAGCTGGCTTGCCGTGCGTACAGTTGCTGTAGCAGAAAGCCGCCAGGGATTGTGCACATGTTTAGCAACTTCAGCACCAACTCTCTGGGCTGGAGCGCAATGTACGGGTGTGAGGACCTGACGGTTTTCCTCTTGGAGGCACGGGCAGACACCGAGATCCGGAATCACCGGGGCCTGCGACCAGTTGAAATCGCAAAGACCCGCGCGGTGAAACAGTTGATTGCTGATTCTTTGCTTCTTGAGCAGATCTTCTGTCTTTTGTTTTCGTTTTTACCTCTGCGGCGGGCTGTTACTGTATCAGTCGTTCCTTGCTGTACAGTGCTGGGCAAGCCGAGGATCCTCCGCAGCACTACCAGTACCTTTCCGACACGCTTCGCAATGAAAGCATGTGACGACACGACTTGTGCCCCTAGCACATTGGTTCCCGAGTAGTATTTCCATGCTGAGTTTGACGTTCGGCCATGTCTGGCCATTCGCTGAAGGCACATAGCCAGCTTCTTGTCTGGCAAGAAAGAGATGACATTTTTAAAGTCTTCTGCGACAGGCTGGGAAGAGAGTGAGAGCCCAGGCAGGCTTGCTTATTTTCTCTGCAGCCAGATCGCACTTTGATTGTGGCAGACGTGCACTCCTCACAGAGGCTGTGGTTCGAATCAGACTTCAGGTATCTATACTATTTGTAACCCTGCACATAGTGTGGAGTTTCTGAGCCTCTACTTTTAGAAGGAGTAGAAACCTCCGGCAGATTGCGCCATCAGCTCGTCTCTCGAACGAGGAGATTGCTGACTCCGGACCTCTTGCCTTGAAGGTAACTACTGTGCCGATATCTAACTAACTGCAGAAACTTTTCACTGTCAGTCAGGAATGCCGAAAATGGAAGTGCAGGCATGGTGAAGGTAAGGAGCTCCACTAAGTACGATTATCATGATTGCCCAGTCCGCTTCATTCGCGCTTTGGTGAGTAAGTGTAATGACGATAGCAAGCGTCGTTGGACATGGATCATGCTATTGTTTTTGTCGGTTTCGTCAGGCTTCGTCTTACTTAATGTACGATCCGTTCCGGTCTTCGACCTGTAGTACTTGCAACGGACACCTTTCTTCCAAAGCGGCACTGGGGCTCCCGATCGCCGTCACGCCCAAAACAGTTGGACTCTGCGTGAAGGGGCAGGGGTCCACAAATATCAATCCCGCACCTTTTCACGACGGCCATCTCTACAAACAAGTAGCCACACTGGAATAATGTTTTGCATGCTATGTACCTGCGAAGCTGTACAAGTCCAAATATTTAGCAGCCAGCAATTCAGAATCCGCAACACATGGCAAGACTTCCATCAACCTGCAAAGCTCTCCCGTCCTGGCAGGTATGCACATGAGGACGGGCTCCTCGCATTCTCCGCGACGTGTCATCTAAGAGGCTTACGAGCACAGTCTAAGAGTCCCAGAGTCGCAGCCACGCCAAAAAACACGGGGCATGCTGCTCGGAGTTCCGCAAGCCCGGCGTGTACGCTGTCTGTTTATTCCTTGATCCATGCACGGCAGATCCGGCATGTTTGTCCAACTGTTCTGAGCAGACTGGCTCCGCTCACTGGTTCGCACATGTGCGGATCCTGCAAACGTTGGCACTAAACACCGTTGTAATACACTGACAGAAGTAGTGCACAGCCGCAGTGAGTAACGAGAGATGAAGTGAACAGCAGCGCAGGAAAACACATCCACAGAGGTATGTACAGAGATACTCTAATTGGCCATCGGGGTGACTTTGTATGCATTTATATGCATCGCAGCGCTGGCGTGCCATGCGTTTCATGCGTCGCTGGCCTCTTGTGTGGGCCCCGATAGCACGCTTCCACGCGAACATATAGTCAACTGAGTTTCTGAACGTACTTGAAGCCGTACCCGAGTGGCTTCTCGAAGTTTCACACCAGGCGCAACTGTTTGAGAACATGCATCGGGTCTTTCCGAGATGATGCGGCCCGAATCCAAGGCCCAATCCATCCCTACTGCAAGAATCTTGAACCCTCGCAACCTCCACCCCAAAAACACATCCCGGCCGACACTGATACACGCACGCACACACACACACACACCCACACACACACACACACACACACACAAACACCTACATACCTACACCTATATAACTCCAGCCCCACACCGTCTAAACGCCTCTGTTCTTCCCATTTTCCGAGCCCCAGCCCCGCACAAACACCTCGTCGATTACTTGATTCCTTCTGCAGTGCGGTAGCTGCGGTCGTTTTTCAAACCCAGACTCGAGGTCGCGCTGGACTCACCCGGCGCAGAAAGTGCAACCCGAACTCGAACAGGAACTGAATTATGAATTGGATTTCGACTTTCCACCCGAAGTGGCACCCCTCTCCCGCCGACGCTATGTTCGCTGACTCCTTTCCTTGGCATTCGGTCTCCAGCTCGGACTTACCCCTCCCCGCACTCAGAGCCCTGTAATGTTGCCCCTTGCATTGAGTAGAAGCTCAAAAGTATCGGCCCCGTGACCAGCTGTGGTAGAAGTGCTTTGAAGAGGGCCGAGCACCCCTTCCAGAATGGCGCCTCGATGCCAGCCTCAAATGCGAACTGACACAGCCCCCTGCCAGTGTGCAGATGCGCGAAGGTCTCCGTTCTGGCCGGGGCTGCTGTGCTGGCGGGTCACGCGCTGGTGGAACCCTCAGGCTGTAGCAAACATCACCAAGCTGAGTGATCAACCCGATCGCGATCGACACACCCGCTTCATCACCTCGCTTTTCTGGACTTTCTGCACTATGCGCTCATGTTTCTTGTTGATCCTTCCTCTTTGGCCCCGAGGCAGCACATGACCAGCTGGATGCAGATGTTCTTATCATTGGGGCAGGCTGGAAGTGTCGCTGTCAAGCTGCTACATTCCTGTCCCTTGATGTCCTGTGGCAAGTAAGTAAATCGCAACAAGCAACAGGTGTGCCAAAGACAGGCTTGGGGGCTGTGGGGGAACTAAACTGGTGGGGCGAGAGAGCAGGGGTGCGGGGCCACCATTACAACCTTCGGTCAAAGCAGAGCCTAAGAACCTCAAGGGGCAACGGCGCACTGAAAGAGCGGCCGCAAAGACCAACGACGCAATGAAAGAGCAGCTGAGCACCCTCCTCACCACCACCACATAAGCCCTTCCTCAGTAATGATGAGCATGGAGCAGCGCAGATGGTCCACAGCAAGCCTTTGGAAACAAGGACTTTCTGGGTCTGCAGGCATACTGCGTTTCAATACTGCACTGTACATCCTGCGCAAGCCTGGCACAAACAGCGTGCAAGGGCGGTGCGCAAGAGGAATTTCGAGTTGAGGGTTGCAACCATACTACAGAACAAGCCGCAGGTATGTATATACTTATGTGTGCACGTGTTTATGTCTAAGTGCATACCTGTATTTCTGATTATTTCTGTGCGTATGTCTGTATCTATGTCTGTGCGCTTGTATGCTTCCATGTCTCCCTGTACGGATATGTGTGTATGTGTGTCTTGTATGTTTGTATGCATACGCACACACACGCGACTATACATGTATGTGCATCTATGTGTGTGTGTGTGTGGGCGGGGGCTGCGTCTGTATGTAGGTAGGTAGATCTGTATGTGACTGCGTGTGATGTAAGATATGTGTGCCTGCCCGTCTGTCTGTCTGTCTGTCGGCATGTACGTATGTCTGTATCTATGCGTCTGTGTATGTGTGTGTTTCTGTATGTTTTGGTATTTATGTACTACATGTATGTATGTAGGCATGATGTGTGTGTGTGTGTGTGTATGTGCGCATGCATGACCACATCGCCCGATCGTGTGTGGGTATTCATATGCACGTATGTAATTGAACGGTTACTTGCTTCAAGAGCTTTGTCGTCCTGCTGTACAAACAAAGGCTGTATATGTTATATATATATATATATATACATACATATGTATGTGTGTATTATGTGTATATCTATGTATGTGTACGCGCATATATGTGTATGATTGTGTATGCATGTTTTACATATGGATGCAAAGATGATCCTGTGTCAAACTAGCTTCAGGGTTAGACAGGTTCTTTTTCCGTGCACTCTTCTGCTACAGAGGGTCTTCTGCTGGATAATGACCGTTCGACAGGGTCGTCTGTCCCAGACGGCTTTTCCACAGTATTGTTTTTTCAACGACTGGCTTGGCATGGCGTGAGATGTCATGCCGAGGGAAGTAAGCGCACAACTTCATCGAACTCAGATGCGTCGCCCGGACTGCCCAAATTGTGAGAGTGGAAAGCCATATGTGCGTGTGTAAGTGTGTGAGTGTGTGTGTGTGGACCTCTGTTACCAAGAGGAACCGTTTTTGAAACACGTTGGACAGTTGTGCTGAATTACAGAAAATTGCAGGGGGCAGAGGGTCTCATTTCACGGCCTCTGCCAACGAAGCTCCGTGATATTGAGACAGGTAAACGTACCTGCAGTGGTCGGCATGGGCACTTTCGTGCAGCTTGTGACCACACAACTGTTGATTGCGAGTAGGAGTGCAGTGCAGTTTCATGTGCATGTCTGGGAGATTTTGCCTTGTACAGTGGAAAAGTCAGAGATCAAGTGAAGATGAGCCTTGAGGCCAGATAGGTACCGGACCCCCTGGAAGCTTCATGCTTTCGAGATACATCAAGCTGTGCTTGATAACCAGATTGATTAGTGGCTGCGCGATGGATGTCTAAGTGTGTGTGTTTGCGTGTGTTTGTGTTTTGTGTCTGTGCTCATGAATGTATGTACGCCCATAGGCACGCATGCATTGATGCGTGCATGAATGCATGCATGCATAAGTTGTTGTATGTGTGTTTTCTTAGCTAAGTATGCATGGATGTACGTACTTTCAAATGGTTGCGCTCAAGTATGTACGCCAATGTGTGCGTGAGTGTGCATGCATTCGTGTACATATGTATTTTCTTTTGTCGGGGTGTACGTGTGTGTGTATATGTATGGATGCATGCATGGATCGCTGTGTGTACGTGTGCGAACATGGACCATGTTTGTATGAATGCGTATCATCGTGTGCAAGCATGCATGCATGTATGTATGTATGTATACTGCATGTATGTCCGTCCGTGTATATGTGTGTGCGGATGTGCGTGCGCGTATGGCCATGCCAGGATGTATGCCAACCTAAGCGAATGTATGCAGGTATGTGCGTTATGTATGTATGTATGTGTGTGTACTTAGGCATGCATGTATGTATGTATGCATGTATGTGTATGTAAGTGTTTGTATACACATCCGTTCACATATATACATATACCTGTGCATGTATGTAGAAATATCTATGTCTGTATTCACGTATGTATGTATGTATGTATGTATGTATGTATGTATGTATATACCGACGCATGTATGTACGTGTGTATGTGTTGTACATGCCTACACGTTTGAATATACATGCATGCACACATATACACATACTAATAGACCCGCATGTATACATACTTACGCATGTATTCAAACATGCACTCATGCATTATACATGTATGTATGCTGTATGAAAATTGACAGTTGTCATGCGAGTTGCCAAGAAGTAGGTCGTGCCGTGGGAGGTCAAGCTGGAATGTCAGCGGCATACCATCTCCGGAAGAGAGGACATGTCTTGCTTTGATTCTTCAAAGACTTTTCGGATCGATCAGTCCCGAGGATTGACTGTTCGAGTTCTAGAGGCTACGGATCATGCACCTTGCTGGCGGCATTTAACCGCGATTGGCCGACTAGCATGGACTGTCGTAGTCGTAGTTGCCTGCCTTTTTCTTTTGGTGAAGCAGAGAGGAAGTCGCTGAGTTTGGCTATACCCTCTAAACACTACACCCTCCCTGCGTCGCAGGTTCGTCCTGGCAAGTCGGGAGGCAAACGCCCAAAGCCCTGAACCATAAGCAATGGTCAACAAACATCACCTCGAACTCTTTCATCCAACAAGGTTTGGACAAACTGTTTTGTACCACCCTGCTACGTGGACTTCGTCCTCGCCATGCAGGAAGCAAAACCCTCTCTCCCAGAAAAGGGATGCACACTGCAAGCTTCAAGGTTGGCGGGCGCACACGCAACATTGACGTGGCAACAGGCGGGACGCGGGCAGACACAGACTTGCTTTATACCAATAGCAGCAGCTATCATAATGCAATCAACAAGACATGGAAACCAAGAAGCAATAACGGAGATTTTACACCATGCTTTATTGAATCAAGTTTCAGTCATTCTTCGGGCAAGTCAAATTTCCAAAGGCACAGCTGTTGTACAAGTATACGGCTTTTGACCCGCCGGTATCTTGGGAAAGCCGTCATGGCCTGCTTTGACTGGAACTAGAACTTCCTTCAGTTGCATGACATAAATATGCACGCGCACAAAATGCAATCAATGCCACTGAGTACTGTAGGGGCACTTGTGTATTCCTTCGGTCCCTTAAGTTTCTTGAAGTTTCTTGATGCCAGCTGCACATCGGGGGAGCTGCCGTCCCCCAACCAACTGGCCCAGCTTTGCTGAGGCCAAGCCAAGCCGCCAAGCTGGCCGACCAAACACTCACACTACCAGAATTGCGGAAGCTCATTTAACTGTTGTTGTTAGATCGCTGAGTCGCCACAGAACGCGTCATTTCGCATGGATGTGGCAAGATATCTGCTGGTAGAACGGAGCTTCTCACGTATGAGACCTGATATCTGCAAGGGTGAGCAAAGCGAGAGAGATCAGAGCAGACGAGGATCGGGATGTGGATGTGAAGATGCAGAAGAGGGCTTCATTGCAGTGGACTGCATGTGCTTGCGTCGACTGGTCAGGGAAGATGGACGTGGAAACAGACGATGTGATTGAAGTTGGTGGCACCTGGTTGAGTCCCGAGCACTCTGCGGCGTTGGCGCTTTGCAGCGAGCATTCTGGCATGCAGAATTGTAGCAAGAGCGGCACAACCATGGAAACTCCGGCGACAGCGGTGTGTTGTCCTCGCATTCGCTCGGTGTCTACTTTTCACTGCCACGTGCTCAATTGAACTCAGCTCAGGCTGGGGATCGAGGTGTACAATGCTAGCTTCGTCCCTGACCTCGAAGTGCCATCTGTTCCCAAGGCGCGTTTCCAGTGCAGGCGTTGAATTGTGTGGAGCTGGGTTTGGCGGCATTGAGCGATTGCATATGATTGCATAAGCTTGGTTCGTTTTCCATCCTTTTCCGTTAGCTTCTTCGGCACGCATGCTATGGACGGAGGTTTTGACTGGTTGCGTGCGTGACATGCTTGAAAGAAGGCCTGCGAGACCTTCCTGTCGCATCCGAATTTGCATAGACATCAACGGGGTACGTGCGGATCAGATCTCGGTCTCTGGGTTTCTTCTCCCGTTTCAGAGAAACCTGCTTACCTTTTGTAACGGCAGACAGCAAAGTGGCAAGAACTTACCTTTGAGGCAATCTTTGCTTTAGCCGTCTACTTCCCAGTAATCCGTCACAGGCTTACATGCTCATTGGAGCGACCTTTTTCGAGTTCAGGAAGAGATGCCGTGGTGGTATTGGGGGTCAGACTACCCCACCGAACAGAGGCAGCGGCTCAAAAGGCCCTTCAGAGTCATGTTTGCTCTGGGCTACAATAGAAAGCTTGTCCAGTCAGAAATGAGCATGACGAAGCCTCTCTGTTCGCATACCGCATGAGGTCTGTTGTCCACACCTCCACTGGACGACACGTCTTCACCACGGCGAGTGAACTCCAGGTTGGCACATGGCAATTCTGTTCATGAGAAGATCCAGGTGCCTCGCACGAAACTTCAAGCAACGAAAGGATGCATACTGTTCAAGGTAAGGCTGTCCTGGATTTCGCGACCCCATTCATCCATTGACAGCGATGCTGGCGTCAAGCAGATCCGCACGGGTCACGACAAACAGCTTTTCAACGCTGCTTGGGATTGTTGAGGCCGCTTTCCCATCTCAGTCAACGGCTTCCTTGAAGCGCGTTGGAGCCGCATGGCTGTCTTACGTTAATAGACGATGAATGGCTGCTGCTGAGCTCTGTGTTTCAGATCTTGGATAGCTGTGGCAATGCAGGAATTCGTTGATGGAAGAGCAGCAGAAATCAGCGACAGGCCGTTGGGGCATGTCTCCTGCACTGCTCGGTAGCCACTTCAGGTGGAATCTTGGAGGATAATGATATATCTGGTCCTGATAAGCTGCAGGTGCTGGCTTGCCAGTGGCATGTCGCTTGGTGACTTCAGAAGTGCAGTAATGTTTTACTCTAAGCTCGTTTTCTGTCGCCCCCACCCCGTACTTCCGTCTGCTGTGAGGGTATTGCATGCACCTGCCCACCAGGTCTCGTGCGTGGAGGGAAGCAGATTCTGACACCACCTGGGGCGCTCTGGGTGGGAAGCTGGAGGGCAAGGCCTGGTTTGTATGGCCTTGTGGGTGCAGAGTTCAGATCAGGCAGCAGGTGCAACTGCACACATTGCAGACCCATTCTCGTAAAGACGTATACACTTGTTGCTTCCGGCCGTGGCGTTTGGAAGCGCAGTAGTGCGTCATGGGGCTTCGACATTCCAGCCATTTCCAGCCCTCTCTATCCTGGTCCGAATAAGTATAGCTTTCGAGGCAACCGAGTTCTGTGAAGACAGTTGGAACATGTTGGACCACACCGGCATTTGGAAGCAGCAGCAGCAGCGGCCGTCAATACAATTTTCACAACAGTCATTGCCGTCGATTGTAGCAGCATTGTAGCTGTACTGTAGCAGTTGGCCGCTGTGCTGCCCAGGACGCCGAGCAAGTGCTGAGAAACTGTACCTTGGCAGCACTGCTGCTTCATCGTTTTCACCTGGAAATGTCACCAACGTCTGCCTTCTTTGAAGTAGCAGAGCAGTGCTCATGGCAAGAACAGCCTCACTCACACAGACGGTTCTGACAAGGCTTGAGGACAGTTTTGACGGCCATTTGTTGCTTTCGGCTCCGAGGCATCCATGGAAAGAATGCACAGGAGCCAGAAGCAGTGTCATTCTTGTACAACCTGCTCTCCTTCAAAGGCTCGGTGAGAGACAGACACATCCAGGCTTCTAGCAGGGCTGTTGACGCTTGGCGCATGTGCTGCAAACTGGGATACAGAGACAAGAGCCATACTGCTGATACAAAGCTGAACTTGGGGCACAGAGCAGTTGCATTGGAAGGAAAAATCAGAGATATCCACTCAGTGGGAGTACCCACTGAACGGCCGATTCAGGCAGGATCCCAGCATTGATAACGGGGGCTATGGGCCCAGACACGCTGGATTCGGAAGTGCCTAAGAAAGCAAATGAAATGGCAAGGAACCTCCGGCTGGAGCCGAGCATGAAGGATACCTTCGTGTAAGGCGAGGATATCCTGCTAAAGCCAAACCACAACGAGACTAAGGAGGAGATGAGGCAAAGGGCCCAACACTGCATCAAAAGTGTAAACCGGCGGGGGTTTAGCATCGGAAAGCAGGACGGCGGAAACCGGGCCAAGTTATGGCTCGCGGTGAGCCAGCCACCCGAGAAACGTCGGAGGGCTGCCAAAGCAGGCAAAGTCAACAGGCTCAGCATAGAAGTCTACGGCGACGGTGTGGTTCCGTGGACCACGCTCGATGACCAACTGGGAGTCACACAGGGTGAGCTGGAGACCACATGGGAGCCGGGCGACGCTCCGGTCAAAGGTCTGCTACAACCCGCGGGGTTTCTTTTGGGAGTTTCGCCACCTTCAAGAAGAGGTGGCAAAAGCGCCTCCTGACGGCTTTGGAGTGGCTACCAGGACCTAGAGGATTTAATCCTGGACCTCCTCTCTCACCTTCGGGCCGCAGCTGGAAAGCTTACAGCTGCTCCTGTTGGTGGCGCATTCGCAAAACTCCACCGGGGGCAGCAAGAGGCACCCAACCTGGCGGGGTATGGCCCGATGATGAGGGACCAAGCACGATGCCACAAGATAACCTTGCTGGGGGTCCTCACTGAATCCCCTTAGAGCGTGACACCGCCGAACTAAAACAGCGACCTGTTCTGCGTGCTTCTGACTGCCACTGAGCTGAGCGAGGCATAAAGTTGCAAACAACAGAGGGAAGGTAGCTGCTTTGGCATACTGGAGTATGGATGCCCAACCGACCACTGCGAAGCACGAACAAACTGGATCGCTGATTGTAGTTTATGGGCCTGCGAGATGTTACAGGTTTATGTTTGATTGTTGATTTGGAAGTTACTGGCCGTTGCCAGGACAACAACAACTTACGGGCAAAACAACCGGCTGCATACAGACCGAAGCTTGCGGGGACACAGTCGTATTGTGTAAGTGGGTAGTCAACTACCCAAGTTGATGTCCTGTAGTGTTGGCAGTGTGAATCCCGAGCTAAGGTCAATCTGCCGTGTCAGGTGTTTTCACCATGCTACCAATATGAGGACCGCTGACGCGCGGAGGGGAGGGTCGCTCCCTCTCCTTCCCCTCTGAAGAGACTGATGCACTTTATCCGCTGTCCAAATTCGAGTGCGGGGAGCACATGCCCAAATCCTTTCGCTTGCGGGGCCATAAATTCAAGCATGTTTTTCCCTGGCTCACACAAGCATGCAGCCACACCTGGCCCCCCCTTCCACCGTGAACCTGGCATATACAGCCGAGTCCGTCCACACAAAATGCTGGATGGGGCAGCTCCCAGGAGCCGGGAGCCGGGAATGCCACAGCTCTCCATACCCCGAGCAAAGCAAAGACAGAGAGAGAGAGAGAGAGTTAGCTTTGAGAACGCAGCTCTGTGTGTGTGTGTGTGCACGGGGCTCCCAACTTGCGGGGGGGGGGGGGGGGTTGACCTGCGTGCAGGCAAACAAGCGCTTTGAGTGCGGGGGTTTTATTGTCACGTCGTGCATTGCGAGACGATTGTATGCTGGCTGCATGGCGTGAAGGTTGCAACAGCAAGGGTGCGGACTCGCAGTACCGCGTGAGAGGAGGCATTGATCGGTCTAGCCGTTCTTTCCACGTCGCTACGAGCGACTGTTTTGGGGTGCTTGATGCCCCTGAGAGCCCCTGAGGAACTCAAGCGATACCTTTGAAGATTGCTGCACAGCTTGGGAACTCTGTTCTACTTGGCCACGAGGTGAGATCCATCAAAGCAGACGGAGCCTTGTCGTTTGACTAACGGTCTGTCCCTGCATGGCACGTCAATTTGGGCGGTTATTCTGGGATGCTTTCGGCAGCGCTTGAGTCGATTCGAGAAGTGACGGGGGATGGATCCAAGCCCAGCTGTTCGGTGGCTTACACCGAAACTAGCACCCCCTACTCCTGGTCGAAGCTCGTTGCGGCTGATCCGAGGCGGGGATGTGGAAATCCAAGTGCGTGGGGGCAAGTCCTTCCGGGCGCGGGCCGCGATCCTTACAGGAACTGCAAGAGAGGGGGATTCCATGATGAATATCAGGAACCCCCAATGCTGTTGGTAGATGTTGGTAGCATAAAAAGTTGTTGGATACAACTTGTACTTCTAAACCGAGCTACTGCCAGTAGATCATTACATTCAGGGAGCACTTGGTTGTGGAGTTGCAGTCATGTCGTTGCTGTAACCATTGCGATTGTTGCACGGGCTCGTCAGATGCATCCCCAACTGGCGGCCTGGGAAGTTGGTGGCAGAGTTCATCAGGACCTCCCCCGGCTATCTTGGGCATCAGCTTCAAGCCGCCTCTGGCTGGCACAGATGCCCAGTGGTTGCAGCGGCTGCTTTGCTAAACTCAGGCGCGAACGGAATCACATGTAAAGAACCGGCTTGGTCGTGCAGCTCCACCCACCCCGTGAAGCATGTGCTTGCTTCGGTTGGGTGATGCCGGATACAGGCGACCACTGCTAGGGGGGTGATGATTCTTGTGCGCATCTGGAGCAGGAGCCCCAAGTCATGTTTATCGGAATCTAGCCCACCAAGGATGCCCATGGGGACGTCGCTGAAGCTGGCCACCTACCAAAACCTAGTTTCAGAACTCGTTCCGCTAGCTTCTGGTACTGGTATGGATCGCTGCTTAGGGCGGGGGGGGAGACAACTGTTCGTATCAATGCCCTGCTGGGCACCGGGTTGTCATTGATTTCCGGAGCATGCGATAAAGGAAGCCAGAACGGACTAGAAGCACCAACATGCCCATAGAGTTCCTTCCAGACGTTATTGCGTTCGCTGGAATCACAGCTCTGACTTCTCACCGGTTCCGTTTTGTGTTTGAAGCTAAGGCAGCCATCTACAAGGAAGGGCCGTGGTGGAGGGAGCTTGGCCTACAGGGGGAAATCCTGTCCACTTCGCTGCCACCGAAGTTGTCACTACCTGCGCCCGACACGGATCTGCCTTTGCTTCTTGGCAAGTGGGGTTGCCGTTCTCGTTCTGTACGCCAGGGCTCCGTGCTTTGGGTCGTGGCGGCACAGAGCAAACATGGTGAGAATGTGCACCGGGCGTGACGGTCAGCATTGGGTCCCTAGAGCAGGTGGCTAGAGTCTGGAATGTTTCACACAGAGGAGCAAGCAGAGGCTTGACCTTCTCTAGTAGCTATCGAACGGGTAGTTCTCCTGTCTCAGCTTATGACGTCCCTTTTGCATCGTTTCCGCCCCTAAAACATACATGATGCCGCTTGGTGACTTTGCTCGACATGTTGACAGGACTCTTGGCATCTTGCGAACACTTTGCCTTGTTCTCTCAGCATCTCTTCTCGTACGGCTTGCTCCCTTTTCTGAACTTGTGTTGTCCTGTGAGCTGCGATGCCTTCTGGCTGATTTGCCGCCCCTTTCGTGTGGGTATTCCCCGCTCCGTACAATCGTCTTGCTTCAATGGTGCGGAAACAGGCGGAGAGGGTGGAGAAACAACTTCGACTGTAGACAGTGTGCTCGACCAAGGTTTGTGCAGTGCATGGACCACTCGCCCTACTCCCAGCGAATTGGTGTTATCGTGGCCCGGCCTTGACCTGTCAAGCCCCAGCCTTCACAAGTAGGAAACTGGACAGATATTTTGTTGGAAGCGGACCGTCTGAAGACGCGATCACTGTGGCACCTAGGTGTGTTTTGTAGAGGGCCGGCAGAACTTCCACTTCTTGCAGATGAGCCATAACGAGCAGCAGGCCGCCAGTCTTTTGCCCTTCCAGGCGTATGGTGAATTCGCATGTGCGCATGCGCGCACGTCCGCAAAGCGTTGTGTTTGGAATAGACCTGTTTTTGTATACATACGTATAAATATGCATCCATATAGTCACACATGTATATGTAGAGGGGGAATACACTCTGAATCCATCACTCGCAACTGGCATGAAAAGACTGGGGCCTGGAGCGTGTTATTTTCTGCATACATAAATATATATATATATATATATATATATATATATATGTGTGTATGTCTCTCTCTCTCTCTCTCTCTCTCTCTCTTTCTCTACGTGCGCATGCATTCTCATGGGTCTGCAAGTAGTGTAAAGCAATCTAACGTAGTGGAGCATGACGTAATTCAAAAGGGATGTGAGGTGTTGTATCTTGTGGTCTTGCAGAGGAAACCATGCACTGCCCCCCCTATCCCCCGCCCCCTGACCCGCAGAACCCTTGGAAATCTGGATGCGGAACCTCGTGAGCTCGTGAATGTTAACCCACACCTGGACTTCCCCGCGAGCCCAAATATTTGGGCTAGTCTGAATCGGGCTTTCGCTAACCTCTGATTCGGTCTCATAGTATAAATCAGACCTGTGCCCGAAATTAGCTTTCGCTCGGCAATCCAGCTGAGAATGGTTCGAAGAGGTCCGATTCAGCACAAGTGGATCACTGCAGGTCTGTTTCGGATTCAGAAAGGTCATGGAATCAAACATTGTGGAGTTGCCGTACAACACAGGTTGTGACAGGTTTGCTTCTGATCAAACACAGGGGTCTTCCGAAGATTCGCAAGTTCGTGGCATGGATACCGATGGCTCTGGGAATTCCTTTTCGCTTTGAGGTGCCGCCGCCCCCTTGCTGCCTTTTGTGATGTTGCTCATGCAGCTGTTCGTGCAACACCCATCATGTGATGCATGTGCCTGCTCTTGAATGCAATGAGTGCCGGAGTGCTGCAGCCACCAGCTTAACTTTGAGTAGACCTAGTGTGATATACACTCTCATGAGTACATGGTGGGATGGGTTGGACCTGAGCCTCCGGAGGCAGATCACTGATCAAGGCCTGTAGTGTTCGGGAATCTTGCCTGTTTTTCGATGTTTTGTGAAGCTTTCTAGAGAAACTACCCGATGCAGGTCTGGGCGATTTGCCGCTGGAGTTTTGGACGAAAGCTTTCCTTGTGCTAGTGCCGGACTGGCAGGACCTTTGTTTGGAACCATCAGTTTATTAGCCCTGTCTCAGTGCTCAATAACCCAAAGTGTATTCCAGGAGGGCTGCAACGTGAAGCCGAGCATGGTCAAGACGGTGATGGTGAACCATCGTGTGGGTGGCTTCGCAAAAGATCTTGCCCAGTCCTACCTTACAGGACTCATGCACGTTTGAAGCCCCCATGAACATTCAATTCGCCGTTTCTCCGGGTCCCATGCAACCCTGAACCTACAAACCCGAAACCCTATATAAGCCCTGAGCTTGATCTCGAAGCCCTATAGCTGCCCCGTAGTTCGGTCCCCAAACCTTTTCTCTCCTCTGTCAGGATCGCTCACTGACGGCTCGTCGGCAGTGCCCGGGATTGAAACGAAGAGGGGATAGCAAGATTCAGTTGAAAAGGGCAGTAATTAATCTAAGTACAACTACTACAAGAATCCACTGCCCTCTTCCTCAGGAAACCTTTGGTTCAGATGCGCGCAGCGAGGGCGCAGAGCCTGTCGGAAGTGAGAGTCAGCAGGGCTAGGCATATGCTGGACAGCCTGTGCTAAACCATTCTAGATCTCAGCTTCTACTGGGCATATGAGCATGGCTTCTTACAAGAGTTCAGCTGCCGGGCTTCACGACTTTGGCTGCATCCACATGCAGTGCTGTGCAGGAGTGAAACATGTGTGGGTGTGCTTTCCGGCTGCTGTGTGTGGAGTAGATCCGTGTGCATCGCCCTCAATGCGCAGGTGCTGCCTGGTCGACTCGCCGACACGAGCAGCAGCAGCGACCCCGGATCCAGTGCAGCGCGACAGGTCCTTCACAGTTCTGATCCGATGCAGTGCATGCATGCATTGAGGTTTCGATCGTACCGTTGTGCATCGGCTCTATGAAGGATTTTGTTCAGATCTTAAGCTCTTTTAGCTTTAGCTTTGAGGGCTACAGTGCACCATGGCTGCAAGAGCCAATGCGGAACGGCAGGCCTTGGAAGGCCTTGCTTCCGAGTGGGAGGCATGCTCGGCTTCCAGACGTCGTTTGTTGCTGGACGGCTACTTGTTAAAGTGGCCCAAGGCCGAACTTACTGGTGTCCCATCATATGCGAGTGCTGCGCTAAACTATGAAAGTTTGGAACCCCTGTTCCGTTTGTGGGCGGCGAACATGCCACTTCCAAAGTCGCCGAGGGTGACTTCTCTACTGGCAGAGGCCGGGGGCTTTGATAGTTCCTGTTCTATAGAAGGCTTGATAGGATTAATGCTGCTAGCTAGTTAGCTAGTTGGTTTTGCAACATCCCCACCAGGTGAAAGCGGTTTGGAACCTCACCGGCCTGAAATCTACCAAGGGAGAAATTCAGTGCGATGCTTGGGGATTTCGGAAATTCCTTTCCTTCTTCATCAAGCGCTTGGCACAAACCACCCGGCCACGTGCCTCTAGGCTGAGCAAGCCGTGCAAATTTCGCATTATGCATGTGTGCAATCCTGACTCGAAGATGTGTATAATTAAGCATCCTACCAAGGAAAAGAGCAACCGGAAGCTGAAGAAAATCTTGATGGAGGCATGGTACCCTGATCGTGTATCCGAGTTACTCAGTGACGACGAAGAGGACCCTAGCATGTTTTGATGATACTAAATTATTTTTGAACCCCGTAGTGGCCCCTGTATTCTCTCCCGACTCTCTCTCGTGTGCTGCAGGATGCCAATGCCCCAGCTGCTGAAGCTGATGACGATGATTACGAGAACTTGGCAGATGACCAGGACCCTGAACCCGAGGAGAATGAAGACGTTGTAGCTTACATGCACGGACGACTGGACGATGCAGATGAGGACGATGAGCCGTCGACAGATGCTGTCTTAGCGCTTTCGAATGAGGCTGAGGGTTCTAGTGCAGAGCCACCTACAGTGGAGGTCCCGGGACACATAAGCAATGCAAGGGCTGAGAATGAGGATTCCAGTGCAAAGCCACTTACAGTGGAGGTCTCCGGACACATAGGCAATGCGAGGGCTGAGAATGAGGATTCCAGGGCAACACAAGCCACACGGGTCTCGGGGCACACGTCTGGCAACAGTGCTGTCCTGGCATCGACGGCTGAAGCATCTGCGGAACCTGAGTTGATTCTGTGTTCGGATGAGGAGAACGAGGCCCCTAAACGTCCTGTTCCCACGCCGCTTCGAGCTAGGGCTTTCATGGCTATGTCAAAAGCCGAACGCCTCAACGATCTCAAGCAGCGACTGTTGCAGTTGATCCTTGGCATGTATATGCAATTGTGACACGAGCATATGTGTGTGTGTGTGTACATGTTTGATATATATCCTACACTGTGGTTCATACTCCGCCCAGGAAGCAGACGAAGGAGGATCGAGTCGCAAAGACGACCTTCCGCCGCGATGGTCCCGTCCGTGGTGACCCTAGCCACTCGTAGCAATTGCTGTCCGAGCACGCCTGGGTTATGATTAATGTATTGCAGCCCCAGCCAAGCCTATAAACCCCGGCACCGATGCATTTGCAAATGCCAACCCGAAACCCTGATCCCGAAACTTCAAACCCTCACTAAGTCCCTTAAACCCCATAGTCAGCCCGTGTTGAACTTTCAGTTATGGTAAATGAACCTTACCTACAGCCACCATGGAATCCTTGTAGCTCCAGAATGCCTCCGTCAAACCCCAAACCGAGGATCCCTAAACCCTATACAGCCCTATATGGCAACCCCTGAACAGAAACCTTATCTACAGCTGTTCTGTGCCTCCTAGCACCCTCGGATTGCATGCACCGAAGATCGCAACACCCTCGTTCTCAATTCAAACCCAAACCTTGAACAACCCTGTTATCAACCTAGCTAGCTTGTCTGCTTTTGCAACCCTACAATAGTCTTAGTTTATCCTTTTTCTTAAAACCCAATCAAAACCCTGAACAACCCTGTATCCCTTCCCAAATCCATAAATGCAGCCAGTGCCCAGGTCGTGTGGAGACACAAACGTACGACATCGAAGCCGTTGCCGAGCGCTGGCAGAACGCCGGCAGCGTGGATGGAGAGTTGGTGGACCTGGGAACCGAAGCAGCTGTGGCTTCGGAAGCTTCTGGGTCTTCTGGGGATTCGGACAAGTTGCCCCTAAAGAGGTTACCGGATCCTGAGGCTGCACGCGACCCCGAACCTTCAGAGTCCCGTGGTGTTCATCTTGCTAGGGCAAAAAGCTTTGCTGAACGTGCGCAAATGTATGACATGAAGGCAGGGGGCTTCGGAGTCGCAAGAAGTATAGTATTCAGGGTGTCAGGTTTTTGGAGTGATATGATAGGTGTGTCGATCTGTGCTAGCTAATGTGCACATTCCCTAAAGGCGGCGGCTGCTGAAGTCTTGACAAAGGAAAAACAGGATGCCATGATGGAAGCAACCAAAGCCAACGAGGATGCAAAGCCAGGTCACGGGCGGGGAGGTCGTGGAAGGGGGGGCAGAGGAAGGGGTGGACGAGGACGTGGAAAGACCCCCTTAACTGCTGATGATGAGGAGGAGGCGGAGCCCGAGCCGACCGAAGCCAAGCCATCCAAGAGGACCAAGAATGCAAAGAAGCATGCGTCGGAGCCAGCCGAGCCAACCGAAGCCCAGCCAACCAAGAGGACCAAGAGGACCAAGGATGCAAAGGAGAGCGCACCGCCTACCGAGCCAACCGAAGCCAAGCCCGCCAAGAGGACCAAGGATGCAGAGGAGAGCGCATCGCCTACCGAGCCAACCGAAGCCAAGCCCGCCAAGAGGACCAAGGATGCAGAGGAGAGCGCATCGCCGGCCGAGCCGAAGGAAGCCAAGCCCGCCA